CTCCATTCGTTTAACTTTACATTCGTAGCGGAACCAACCTTTTATTAAGATATATTTTTACGTTGTTTAAACCTAGCTTTCCTCATTAGGAGAAAAGAATTACTTCTTAAAAAATCTTGACTTCTTGATACCATCATCGTGTGCATCTACGCATGCGTATCAACCAGAATTACAACCAGAGCAGTCAACTGGCGACACCTCTCTGCACCACCATACGATTATCTCGCGATTAGGGGATTTTGGAAGTCGCGGCCTTCAGTCCTAAACGGATTGAGGATTACTTTTATTGGTCTTGTTCTCCGAAATACGGGGCGCCGTGCGAAATGTTGACGAATACTGTGACTCCGTAGTTGATAGTTGCAATTTTCTTACATTGTATAGGCTCATTTTTGCTACGAACTTGGTGGGAAAATGCGGAAAATGCAACATTTCGGTGTTTCATTGTATGTGACTGGTATTGTTCGAGCAGTGGCCACTTACCTTCTTTGATGCCTTTTGTGTCTTTGTTAACTGATCGCATTCATTCCCTGAAGTCGATTTTATGCACAATTTTCCTGGATAGCTTATCCACTAATTGCAAAGGGAACTGTTCTGACGTCTAACTACTTTCGAGACTCCTAAAACTCGAAGTTTCTTTAGAAATTAGCTAAATATTGAGAGGAAAAAAATTCTGGTGATTTTCAATTAAAAAAGGTTCTCTTTCTTTGTGCCACAAACCTTTGATAAGGTAATGAAAGTATTCTATATCTTATAGCCTCAAAAGAATTAGGCGATGATGGTTTTTCTCGCTTTCCTATACGAAGGAATTTGACTAAACCTGTTATAGGCCTGCAAAAATTGCACAAAAAAATCCACTCTGAGGTGCTGTGTGAGCCGCGAAACCGTGAAATTCGCCGAGATAGGTTAATAACACAGTGGCAGCGTCAGATTTCATTAGCTTAGCAAGTCGTTCTCTGTGAATAACAATGTAAACCGTGCCACCATCAGCGAATCTCATTAGCACCTAAAGGCGTCCTGGCTTAGACGGTAGAGAACCACGCCCCCAGGCGGCCGTGATTGGTCGCCGCACGTTGCCCCTCCTACTTTTGTTGGGGCGCACTCAGGCGCCGATCTTCTATTGTGTTGGTGTGGTTGTGCCGAGCCCGTTCCGCCTCTACCGATAATATCTCGTATTGTGTGAATTTTTTCTTATTTTCTACATCATAGCATCATCTGCAATGATGAGCATGATGGAGCACGAACTTAAGCAGGTATGCGAGTTTTTTCCCTTTCTCTCCGACCCTCAAGTTTTCGATTGCGAACTAGCTTCTCTATTGCTTAGCAGATGACCGACTACAATCAGATATGGCCCGGTGTGGGAGGATTTCATCTTCCACCCACTTCTACTAGTCAACTAATGGCCCAGGCAATTCCCGATGATCTCTCTCCAGGTCCTGACTCGCCGGATTCAGCGAAGGACAGCAAGAAGAACGACGACAGGTTGATTATCTAATAGTTTCCATGCATTCACATTTCCCTTTCATGCGTTTTTTGCTTTTCCACTTCTGACGCTTCTTAAGCAATACGAGTCTCGTAGCTTCTCACTATTTACCTTCAACTACTTCCTTTGGCAAATACAATCTATATGCATCTTGCGGCAATGATTTTCACTAGTTTCTTGCTTTTAAACACCTACATCTCAATAAGAAGCATTAAGGAATGAGGTATACCTCATAAGTAAGATATTTTCACATATTGCCATATTACGCTCTCGATTCCTTCTCTCGAGTTGATCATTCGTAACTCCCAAACCTACGTTATCAAAAGCCA